TTTTTAAACACAGCTTATCTCATTTTTGCAACAATCTGTGACCTGATCTCAAGTCCACCTTAGTAGATGCATAGATAGAGAAGGCTGCAGCAATCTAGTGCAAGTCAATTTTGTGATTTGTCATCTACAAAGAGGAAGAGGTTTTAACTTGAAAGAGAAAAACAGTAAATGGCCCTTATGAGGAACATGCTAGAAGCTTCCGCAGTGGTCCAGGGACTTCCTTTCCAACTTCTCCTCTATGGAGACATGGTGTGGTTACCACAAAAGGCTAGGGGACCGTGGAGACAGTACAAACATCTTGTCAAGCAGAGCCTTCTCCAGGGATGCTGCTGTCACTGGATGCAGATGGGGTGGGGGAGGGAGGTGAAGTCATTCCTCCATACTCCACTCTGCAACTATCGAATTTCCTTTTAAGGTTGAAATTCTCTCTCTAGTTACAGTATTAAAAGGCACAAACCAGAGGTGGAAGCCTGGACACATGGCACTGATGAGGTCTGAGTCCAAGGTGCTAGGGATTGTGGGGAGAGGACACGGAATGCAGGCTTTTCTCTGGGAGAAGACTTGATAAACTGGGTGATATAAATCACTTACCTCTCTGAGCCTCATTCTTCTCACTGCGATGTGTGGGGGTACCGATACCTCGATACATCTGTCATATGATGAGGGTAAAAACTGGAGGGTTAACTCAAGCAAGTGGATAGACAGATACTACAGATCTGATTTCACATGGATCTAACTTGTCGGAAAATTGCCCCAAAAAAGACTCCATTAAACAACCAAACCACAGTTCCAGATTAGGCTGTTGACCCAAGGTTGGTCATGCCTCAAGGAGCCATCTCTTCAGAAAGTTGGAAGGAAATGAACATTTGTGCGGCTAACTTTTGTAGATACAATGCCCAAGTGTCTTACATAGTGCCCGGCACAGGCGCCCCTTAAGAGCACAACCCAGGGACTTAACTTCCTTCAAGTGGGCCCCACTTCCAAAAACGTTCCATTTCCTCTCAATCAGGCCACCAGCTGGGGACCATGCCCCCAACACAGAAGCTTGTGGAAGACATTAAAGATTCCTACCATACCATTTGTCTTGGTGACTGCCTGTTGTGTGAGCTGCTGTGGTAAGATTCCTGTGGGCAAGGAGCCACCGCACGAAGCCCTAATCACATCAATTATTGACTAGCCTGGCTTGGTTATTTGTAATGAAGCAAAAAACAAGAAAACAACATCATAGGAAACTTACATTTGTTAAGATGCCTAACATAGAGCAGACCTTTATTAGTACTAAAAGCATGGGTACACGGATGATATGGGTTTAAAAGATGTCATGGTACACATCCATCCCAACACTATGATTCTTCCAAAATTAAAATTATGTTCAAATGCAAATCAAATTCCGATGGTTAAACATACTAGAACTTCATTTCCATTTACATCAAAATCCAGTCATCTAAGTAGCTTTAGAGGGAGGGAATCTCTTCTGCACAGTAACTCAGTAACAAGATGGCTTCCTCCCTCTTGTGGCTTCACAGCTCACAGCAGCTTTGGGGTAACTCTCCAAGTCACAAGGCAATCTCAAGCAAATGGTGGCCCCTTCTCCCCACTGGAAAAACTGAACTCAGTTTAGAATGATCTTTTTTCTTAGTGAAAAACTTAAATAAAAAAACGGCAGCTCATGCCTATAATCATAGCTACTTGAGACTGAAGTATGAGAATCACAATTCAAAGTCATCCTGGGCAGACATACCACAAGACTCTTATCTCCAATTAAAAAGCAAAAGGTCAGAACTGGAGGAATGGCTCAAGTGGTAGTGTAAAGTGAGTAAAGAAAGCCAAGCAAGAGTATGAGGCCCTGAGTTCAAGCCCAAGTACTGGCAAAAAAAAAATATTAACAATTATCAACAGCATGGAGTGTATTAATTAGATGGATGCTGTTGGCTCATGCCTATAATCCCAGCTACTCAAGAGTCTGAGATCATGGTTTAAAGGCAGCCTCAGACTGAAAAGTCCTGAAAACCCCATCTCTAAAATAATAATTTAAAAAACAGGGCTGGAGGTATGGCTCAAGTAGAAGAATACTAGCTGAGCAGGCGAGTGAGTGAGCAAATGGCAGTATCAAGAAAGAGTATTAACAGAATTGCATTTTAAGTCCATGTTCACTATTCTGTCAAATGTTTCAAGGTTCAGTTAATGAGAACAGGCCTCCCTGAGCCGCCCTATCACTCAAGTCCAAGGCTGAGGGACTGGGATGTGGACTTCCATAGCATGGTGGCTGTTACCTAACAGCCCTCACTCAGCAGATACATTATTTCTGAAACCACGCACATCAAACCACAGTGGAAAATTGAACTAATCTGGAAAAAATAGCAAGATAACCTGCAAAGCTTCCTATGTTGACAAGCATTCTAAGGTGGCCTATATTTTAATGTTATATATGACAAAAGTTATGTTGCATAAATATTATACATCTTATATCTAGATACTTGTAGAGGTATGTGTGTGTATATATATATGTATGTATGTATGTATGTATTTATATATACACACCCACACATCATTTAATGGTTAGAATGGTAATGTATGATAATAGTGCCTGTAATGCCACCTACAGAGAGACAGATCGCCCTGCTGTCATGGAGGTCAGACAATGAATGGAAAATAAATGAGTAAGCAAGATCAATGCAGAGTATAAGGACATGCACAAAACACAGGGCAAAGGTGACAATGAGAGAGGATCTTTAGTCTAGACATGTGTCTGAAAATGTGCCGTGCTGGGGAGGCCACCCAGAGGGGAGACATGATGAGGGATCCTGAGCCTGACCTGCGTAGGAGCCTGTGTGGGGTGCTGAGTAGGCAGAAGGTGAGGATGACCCGTCCCAGGAGGGTCTGTGACAGGCCACAGCTGCTACTGCACACCAGACAAAGTGTACAGAGAAAGGAACAAGGAAGTGCTTCTATTCTTTTGTAAAGCTCATCAGTGAATGAAAAGTGGGATTTTAAGTCACTAAAATACTAAAAGGCTATTATAAAATATATTTCCTATTTCCAATAAAAAGAAAACACTGATCATATGTAAAGTCTGTCATTACATATCTTTTTTTTTTTTTCTGGTTGGTCGTGGGGCTTGAACTCTGGGCCTGAATGCTGCTCCTCTACTCCTCAGCTCAAGGTGAGTGCTCTACCATTTAAGCCACAGCACCACTTCCAGTTTTCTGGTGGTTAATTGGAGATAAGAATGCCACGGAGTTTCCTGCCCGAGTTGGCTTTGAACCACGATCCTCAGATCTCAGCCTACTGAGTAGCTAGGTGTGAGCCACCGATGCCTGGCTCATTTCATATCTTATGGCTTAACAGGCTAGTATCTCAGCAAGGAACCCATACGAAACAAAGCTTTTTCCTATTAGAATTCTAAGCTATTCAAATGCATTTAACAGTATGTATGTGGTATTGATATCAAAGTTGCAAATTTGGCATTTTTCTCCCCATACTCCTAAGAGATCCAAAAGGTCTGAGTAACTGGGCCACATGCACTGAAATACAGCTTGCATGAAATATGAAAAGGAAACCACAGTCATCCAGATGCAGCGGGCCACACAAAAGCCCTGTGCCCAGAGACCACAGGCAACGTGCAACCAACAAGCACACATCTCACCCTCACAGTACAAGTCTACCAGAGAAGAACAGGAGCAGGAAAGCCAACTGCAACAGAGCAGGCCACACCTGAAATACCCAGAAATAGTGTGGGCCTCCGAAGCCGCTCAGCCCTCTTGCTGCCCTGCTTCCTCGCCACATTCATGGCTCCACATCACTTAGTGCTTAAAACGCCAGACTCCAATGTCAGAGAGCCTTAATCCTTACTAAATTTCATTTCCTCTACATTGTAGGGTCTGATAAATACATTAATATTGGCATTACTGGAAATCTGCATATTTACTAAGATGAACAAATTAGGTCTATTATGCTGTTTTTATTTTAAAAGCACAAAAAACTGAATACCTTAGGTTTTACTTACATGCATAAGGGTATGTAAACATCTTCTTTGTTTTTCCCACTTGCACATTTTAAAGCACCTGGCACTATATGTGTCAGTAACCTACATCACAGTAGCAGCATGCTTTTTTGTTTTTGATGCTAGTACTGGGACGTGAATCCCAGGCCTTTTAGTTCAAGCCGGCAGGCTACCACTTGAAGGACAGCTTCATTTCTAGCTCTTTTAAGTGGTTACCTGGAGATGAGCATCTCAGACTTTCCATCCAGGTGGCTCTGAACCTTAATCACCAGATCTCAGCTTCCTGAGTAGCTAGGATTACAGGTGTGGCCACCAGCACCTGGCCACAATGCTTTCTTATAAGACCACTTGCAACTGTATTTTTGAAGGATTACAATAAAATTATTTACAGTGAAGATTGCCAAACTGATCATATATGGTCTTAGGCCATTACTACTCTTTCATTCCAATTTGGATTTAAATATAGTCAGATCTGAAATAAAAGCACTGCTTGACTTCAGATGCATTTTGTTTTTAATATGTTTCAAGGCATCTTTACAAGTAGTAAGTTATGTCATGAAGAGAACTTGTGTGAACACAGCTGTGTGCATGGACTAAAGGCAGAACAACAACCGTAAATCTGGTATCTACAACTCTGAATTAAAAGTCATAACCACTTCTAGGTTTCTTTAAAACAAGCAGAACTAAATAGCCACACAAGAGTACTTTAATAAAACCTTAATGGTCTAACAAACCTTCCAAATGGAAGAAATACAAATTCACGTTGACACATCAAATTTCACATGAGTATGACGACACCAGTGTGCCAGGTCACTGCACCGTTATGTGCTGGCACACGTGCACCATTATGTGCTGGCACACGTGCACCATTATGTGCTGGCACACGTGCACCATTATGTGCTGGCACACGCGCACCGTTATGTGCTGGCACACGCGGTACAAACCTGATACAAACAGCAGACAGGTCCTGCTTTCAGAGCCGAGGGCAAGGCACCCCAGCAGCCATGCTTGCAGCCAGAAGAGACTACAGCTTCAGTGACCCGTCTCTATGCACTACTCAGCACAGAAGTTCCTCCCTGTAATGAACTTTGAGTGTAGACTATCAATTTCCTCAGAGAAATGTACAGCTAATATCAAAATAAGAATAATTTAAATCTTACACACATGGGCTCATGTAGGGAAGTATTTTGTTTCATAAAATGAAAAGTTAATTTTAAAAATATCTGCAAGTCTTTTTTGAAATGCAAGGCACCAAGAGGGAGCAGACATTCCAGCTAAAAGTGATTGTCTGAAACACACAAAACAAATGGAGCGGATGAGTCCCTTGTCTGTGTTGGTGAGAACACGTCCTTCTTCGGGCTACGCCACATCTTCCAGAAAGTCTGCGACATCACTGAGCTGAGAGACTGTCAGGTCTTGTGTGAGATTATCAAGCTTTGTTTTCCAAGGGGAAAAAAAAAAAGAATGTCAATATGAGTATAAATTAAGTTTAAAAGTACAATGCAATAATGTATTTTATACTCTATAACCTGCTTCCTATTTAAAACTCATAAAACACCTGGAAAATCTAAGTGCTAGGAAGCCACAGGCCTGGTTAGTAGACTAGCAGCCTCCTGAGGTCAATGCTTTGCTTTATGTAAGCATAATAAAGGCTGGGAAGTAAGGGCAAAACCAAAGTTCAAGATAGGCTCCAGAACTGGAAAAAATACAGCAGATTGTCCCACATACCTTCTCAGCCTCATCTAGAGCATCTTTACCTGGAGCAGCCAGTCACTACATCAGGACTGGCCCACAGGATCTAGCCAGACCCGCTTGCCTGTGTATCATCTGTGACCATTTTCTCAATCTAATGGTCAAATGGAGTACATATGGAAAAAAAAAAAAACAAAAAACAACATGGCCTGAAAACCCCATGGTGTCTCCTCTGTGGTCTTGTAGGGAAGAAGTGCGATAGACTGGGCTAGCTAATACACAAGAGCAAGGGCATTTTGTGGGGACAAGAAGGTTCCCTCCCAAGATAGCACCAAGATGCCTCTTCACATCTGGTCGTGTTGTTATTCTTTGTATGCAGAGAAACCAAGTCAGGACTAAAATCCTCTTATGTAAGTAAATAGAGCTTCTCTCTCCCTTTTGGTCCCATAGTATTCCTGGTGTAAAGTCATTTCTTACCAAGAAAAGTATTAAGAACGTTAAAGATCTTATATTTTGAATGCAAATCCAGCTTATACAGAAAAGTCTACAGTTTGAAGATAAGATAAAAAAGGGTAATGTTTTGGATTACAAGATTGAGTAAGGAGCAATGTGAGTCTTTATAAAAGATAGAAGGGGGTGGATATAAGTAGACAAATTTCCTCCTTTAAAAACATAAAAAGGCAAAAAATATTTTTAAAAACTTAAATATTTGACATGAAACTACCAGAAGAACACACAGGGGAAATGCTTCAAGACAAAGATATTTCTGGACCAGACAGCATAGGGAACAAAAGCAAAAGTAGACAATGAGATTTAAAAAAATTAAAAAGCTCTGCACTGCAAGGAGGCAATCACTGGGCAGAGACAGAGAGGGGGAAAGCATTTGCAGAATATGAAAAAGGACCGATATCCAGAATATATAAAGGACTCAGAAATCTTAGTAACAATTTTTTAAAAGTCAGAGAAGAGAGCAAGTGCTAACAAGAATGTTGGTAGGAATGGGAATAAACACAGCTATTACAGAAAATAGAATGGAGGCTCCTTAAAAAATTAAAAACTAGGCACCAGTGGCTCATACCTGTAATCTAGCTACTCAGGAGGCTAAGATCTGAGGATCATGGTTCAAAGCCAGCCTGGGCAGGAAAGTCCATGAGACTCTTATCTCCAATAAACCACTCAGAAAACTGGAAGTGGCGCTATGGCTCAAGTGGTAGAGCATTAACCTTGAGCTGAAGAGCTAAGGGATAGTGCCCAGGCCCAGAGTTCAAGCTCCACAAGTGACAAAAATTAAATAAATTAAAAACAGAAGTGGGCACTGGCAGCTCATACCCATAGTCCTAGTGACCTGAGGAGGCTGAGATCTAAGGATCATGGTTTGAAGCCAGGCTGGCAGCAAAGCCTGACAGACTATCTCCAATTAAACACCACAAAAGCCAGAAGTGTGGCTGAGTTCAAGCCCCACAACTGGCAATAATAATAATAATAATAGTAGTAATAAATTAATTTTATTTTTTGGGGGGTGTCCCGTCATGGGGCCTGAACTCTGGGCCTAGGCACTGTCCCTCAGCTCTTCAGCTCAAGGCTAGTGCTCTACCACTTTGAGCCACAGCACCACTTCCGGCTTTTTTCTTTTTGCTTATGTGGTGCTGAGGAATCGAACCCAGGGCCTCATGCATGCAAGGCAAGCACTCTACCACTGAGCCACCTTCCCAGCCCATTAATAAATTAATTTTAAAAATTAAAAATAGAACTCATGATCAAGTCCTAAGTATTTCTCCAGAAGAAATGACATCAGTGTGCTGAAGAAATGAAATCAGCATTGAAAAGACATCTGCATCCCAATCACCAGGAAATGGAAAAAGGTAAAGTAGGTCGTGTATGGTACAACAGAATAGTACTCTTCGATAAAACCCAAGCGTCTGTGACAAGACAGAACTTGTACCCACTGGAGCTCAACACCACGACTCATATCTCTTGCTTATATCTTCTCTTATCTCGTGTTCTTGTCTAATTTGAACTTGGCGATAATGCCAGGAGGTTAACAGGTGGCCTCTACATTCATAACATAAAGAGAACTGATTGCACTTCCCTTTGCAGTCCATTATGAAATCATATTGTTTAAGTCTGTAAAGTATAAGGCATCAGAGAAGGAATATACATATGATCATTTAGCCCTCAAAACAATACTGTGAGGTAGGCATTGTTTCAAATGTAAGAAGATGACATATATCTACAAACAAAGAATGCAAACCCAAGCTGTGCTGACTCTGGTTTCAAGATCATGAAGGCCTTTCCCCTCATGTGATAACCAAACACATGGGCAAGCCCTGCTCATTCTGGGAGGCAGCAGCCCCCTCCTCCAGGGCAGGGAAGCCAGACCCCCCTGGAGCTGTGAGAACAACTGTTTCATATGGACAGACATGATTCTAAGGTGCCATCCTTCACTATCTTAAGTGCATGTATGAAAAGCTCCACTGTGAACCCAAATGATCTGTTCACCATGTACCTCTGGCCTCCTGCCTCTTGTTGGCTCTAGTCTGGTCATGCCTTACCTGTTCACGTATAACAGCTGCCCCTGAGCCGACCACACTCTATACAACTTCTACCTGCACAGCACCAAGGCAGGAAATCCTGATGCTGGTTCTGATCCCTGTGGCGCCCCTCACTGCATTGCACTGCAGTAAGCCGAGCGACCCAGTAACAAGTCAGTCCTGTAAGAAGCACTGAGCTTTCAAGTTATGCGACCACAGACACAGCCTTGCATACTTATTAGGTAATTCTGGCATGCACTTTTCACCATTTTCAACTGCTTTCCTGCTAATGAGAATAACTTCCTGAAGCCTCCCGCAGATCAATGAACAGGCACACAGCATTCTATGGGAAATGATAACGGCATACTTTATCGCTGGTACTGATGTCGTCCACTCCCACAGAAAGGTCTTCCTCAATCTCCTCACCAATACTTAGTTCACTTTTTTCTGAGCGGTGGCTGGCACTAATTATAAAAGGGAAAAGAAGAGATAACGATTCTTAAGAGAAAAACCACCAGTTTTCAAATTTACAGCTATCTTAAGTAAAATGTAACATCAAGTATAAATTTCATACATATCATTTTATGCAACCCTTAAAACAACTTAGCAAGGGCAGCAGCAATAATCCTCTCAATTCAGTGGGCATGAGAACTAAAGTTCACCTGTGACAATAAACACAGTAGCAAGAAACAAACCAAGGTTTCTAACGTTTCAGCTATGTCATACTCTCCTCAAAAAAACTGGGTAAGTTATTCTGCTAAAAAATAAAGACAGGAGGATGCCACTTGTTCACGCCACTAAAATCCTAACTACTCATGAGGCTGAGATCTGAGAACTGCAGTTTGAAGCCAGCCTGGGCAAGAAAGTCTGTGAGATACTTATAGCCAATTAAACACCAAAAAGCCACAAGTGGGAAGCTGTGGCTCAAGTGGATGAGTATTAGCCTAGTGCAAAAAAAGCTCAGTGATAGCACTCGGGTGCTGAGTTCAAGCCCTAGGACCGCACCAAATAAATAAATAAAATAAATACGAATTTCCAATGGGACAAAAACAATCAAAATAATCAGATATCTAATTTTAAGATTTGCGATCAGATCCACAACAAATATTACTTCCATATTACTAGACAGCTCATAGACTATCTTCATGTATATAAGAAAGCTATCTGATACAAAATGTTAAATGTCATCTGAATCAGAATAATAACTAGAGGGGACAATTTTTTTTTTTGGGGGGGGGTCGGTCATGGGGCTTGAACTTTGGGCCTGGATGCTGTTCCTCAGCTCTTCAGCTCAAGGCAAGTGCTCTACCACTTGAGCCGCAGCACCACTTCTGGCAATTTTTTAACTTACCACAAAACACGGGCAACTCCTCCTCTTTTTTCAGTAATGGGGATTGAATCTAGGACCTAGTGCATGACCGGCAAGCACTCTACCACTAAAGCCATATTATCAGTCCTATTGTTCATATTTTGTTTTTGATGGTCTCAGTAACTTTTCCTAAGCTGGCTCAAACTCCATATCCTTTTTTCTGTTTCCTGAGTAGTAGAGATTACAGGCATGCCACATTTAGCCTATTTAAAAAAAAATTTTTTTTTGCCAGTCCTGGGGCATGAACTCTGGGACTGGGCACTGTTCCTGAGCTTCTTTTGCTCAAGGCTAGCACTCTACCACTTGAGCCACAGCACCACTTCTGGCTTTTTCTGAATAGTTTATTGGAGATAAGAGTCTCACAGACTTTCCTGCCTAAGCTGGCTTCAAACTACATTCTCAGGTCTCAGCCTCCTGAGTAGTTAGAATTTCAAGTGTGAGTCACCAGCAGCCTGGCCTCAGCCTGGTTCTTAAATGTTATTTTTTTATTCTTACCATGTCCTTCAACATAAGGTAGATATCTATATTCTAATGAAAAAAAATGGTCCAAAATATACAAATTTTGGATTAACTTTCATTCATCTTCAATCATAATGAAAAAAAGAATAAAAATACCAAAATAAGACTCTAATGTAATTTGGCCACACCCATTTGTATTCAGAAATTATTTACAAATATGTACACTTTTATATAGTTGCCTAGCTGTTTTTCTTACCTATTAAAGTCATCAACATAGTCATCTTCTCCAGTACCTAGTAGTTTAAGACAAGGAATATGTTTATACGTTTATATAAACACTTCACCAATATCTACAAATTAAACACATTTCTTACTCAACAATCTTACAAGAATGATACTGCTTCATTAAAACAGAAGTGTCAAAGACCAGAAATGACAAAAGCTGTTCTAGATGATGACACATCTGGGGAGCACTCACCACCTGGCCTTTGCCCACGCTCCCACAGGTGGCTGCTCACAGGAGTGCTCCCATGTCACTCTTCCCTGGTGCAGCAGAGGACAGTGAGGACCATCAGACCTCTCCAGTGGCCCTGCTATGAACTAGGGAGACGTCTCAACTTGCCAGCTGTCCCACTTGACAAAGACTACGAGGTGGGATGCAGCAAGTCAGAGCAGGTCCTGTCAGACAGCAGCAGGTGAAGACTGGAACCACCACCTAACAGCCCAGGACTCAAGGGGCCTTTGGGCCCCTTTCACGGCTGTGACTAAGTATAGCCAAACACATCCCAATCATTGCCGGCCTTTTCATGTGGGCCACAGTAATCCCCTAGGAAAGGAGAGAGGTCCAGCACTACATTCATCTCCAAGTGTGCCAGGAGGCCTGGACTGCTGAGCACGCTACCAACCGTCTCCAAGTGTGCCCCGATTGCTGAGCAAGAATACCAAGGTCTAAGTTCTAGAACAGCTGACACTGCCTCCATGTATTCTAGGGCAGCTGAGGAAACAGTTACCCCATGAGTGCAAGGGCTGGCCAGCAGAGGGGAAGAAGCAGAGCAGAAGAAACTCTGGCTCAACAACAAGCTGCTCATAGACACTGCCAGCATTGTCCCCGCTCCTCCAAACATGAGACTAGACTTTAGGGGATTCTGAGGTCTGGACAGTCCAAGAAGACAACTCTTTAATAAGAGTGTGACTATGCATTGAACGCATGTGAGTGACGTCTAGACCCCCAACAGACCCATCGGATGATATTCCACAGGAAGAGGCAAGGAACAGTGCCCCAGAGTGGCAGGAAAACGCAAGGCAGCAGTTGCACTGAGACCTGATAAGGAGGCCAGAGGTACCAGGAGAGGTGGTTCTCAGAGAAGGAACCATGTACAAACCCCGCCAGGAAAGACACCATCAAGGGAGGACACCAATCCCCATGAGACAGACAAAGCTGGCAGCGGTCACAGCACCCAGGGTCTGGAAACAATGATTGCATTTCAGACCAAGTGTGAATGGAAGCTAATGGGTGAATGCCCAGGCAGTGAAACCTGCCGTCCACTTTCCCATGGACACTCTGAGCACCGAGAGAAGTGTGCTTCGGAAAGAACGGGAGGTAACAGAATGGTGTTATACAGAGCAAAGCCAGAGCCAGGTGTCCGGCATGTATGACAGAGTAACAAAACAAAACAAAGAAACTAAGCCACTGCTAGTGCTGCACTCACCCTGTGTGAGCCCCTGACAAGAGCACTGGCCGGGAACAAGCCTCCACGATGCTCTCTAGAATAAAGCCTATCTACACAGAGCCTCAAAAAAGCTTAGGGGCTGCAAGTGCCAAACAGGAGACAGGCAGTACCAGGCGGAGCACGGGGAAAAGCGGGAGAAAGCAAAATAGCTTCTACTGGAAACTTTGACAGCTGGTGAAGGGATGGAGGTGGGACCGGGCCTAGGATCTCATATGTGCTGCGCCTGCCTCTACCACTAAGCTACACCTTCACCCAAGATTTTGGATTTTACTACAGCTTGAATTAAGCTGTCTTTATTTTTTTTTAATCTGGATGCTTAAAGCAAATCTTCCAATAAACAAACCACAGTGGCAGCTGGTTGGCAAGTGCCAGTCAACAACAATGGCAGTGGTAGAGCATGAGAGCCTCCCAGAACCAAAGTGCAAACACCAACAGACAGCAGAGCAGACCAGAGCCAGGACAGTGCAGAGCCAGCTGGGAGGGCCGGGGATGAGGGAGGGGGGTGTCAGTCGTGGGGCTTCAACTCAGGCTCAGGTCCTGGGCGCTGTCCCTGAGCTCTTTTGCTCAAGACTAGCTCTCTCACTTTGAGCCATAGTTCTACTTCCAGTTTTCTGGTGGTTAACTGGAGGTAAGAGTTTCATGGACTTTTCTACCCAGGCTGGCTTTAAACTATGATCCTCAGATCTCAGCCTCCTGAGTAGCTAGGAGTGCCCTGGGACTCAGGGCATCTGCCTCAACCTGAGCCCTTTACCCATCTCCTTTGCCCTGACTTCTGCAACAGTCTCTTTTCCTTACTTTAATGTTTTTTGTTTTTTGCCAGTCCTGGGTCTTGAACTCTGGGCCTGGGTGCTATCCCTCAGCTCTTCAGCTCAAGGTAAGCACTCTACCACTCAAGCCAAAGCACCACTTCCCCTTACTTTAATTCTTGCCTCTGACCAATAATCTCTTTTTTGTACAATCAACCAGGAGCAGTTTTTGCAGTTTAAAAATAATAATAGAAAGACTATGTGACTGACATTATCTGAGGCCCACAAAGCCTAAAATAACTATTCTTTAGTTTCATAACTCTTGGTTTAGACAGAATACCTGTCCATTTCCATAGCTTTAATACTGTACATCCAACTAAAATAGGTTATGTTCTAAGCCTTTATAAATTATCCTTAGGAAACTCAGAATTTACCTTCCAACTGAAATATTTCCATGTCTAAAGGAGTACCACAGAGGTAAATCACGGCCCTTGGGTGATAGATCAAGTTTCTAATAGCTTATGATCCTTGGGCACATTATGTAACCTAGGGTCTTTGTCTGTAAAAATGGAGATAATACTACAGTCTACCTCCTCACAGGATAATGCAGCTGTTTCTTTGTATAGTACCAGGCACATGTCACTAGCATTATCATCCCACATAATCCCACTAACATCTATGAGATGACTTAAAATACCTAGAGCATTGTCATGTACATTTACAATAACATCAAACAACAATGCTGCAATGCCACCAAACAAAACTACTTCCACTGACTCCTACTTCTAGCTCACTGGCAAACGCCTGCTCGTGAGCAGGTCTGCCTGGCCTGTGGAACTACCCAAACTCCAGATCCATGCACCCAAGCCCCGCAGACCTGCCCCCTTCCTGCCTAGTCCCCAGCAAGGAAAAGAATGCTCCCCACCTTTTCTTTACTCAGACAAGAGGGCAGAGCGTCAGAGACAAACTCAAGGGTTGGCAACAGAGTGAAAGAACACAAACAACCAGGACAGAAAGGGTCAGAGCAACCGTGGTGACATCACGCAGTCAAGACGGCTCTGAGTGGTAAACACTCGCTGAGGCCCAGTGGGAAAGCACGCGCCCACGGTGCGCTCACGCCCACAGAGGAACAGGGAGGAGGGAGAGCGGGCCCACCTCGCTGGCCAGCCAGCAACATCGGGATGCACACAGAGCGAGGGCCGCACCACCAGCACTCAGCATTACCAGGACTCCGGGGCACTTGTGGAACAAGAATCCAGGTAGTTCAGGGAACATCTATTCTTCTGCAAAAGGCTGCAAACGGGGAACAAAGTAACACAAAAAGGAAGCTAGCATGTGAGAGGCCCCTACCATGCCAGGCACTGTACTTAAATTTCTGTATACATACTTAAATCCTACGTAGTCTGAAGTGGGGAAGACGGTATTGGTTTCACTTACAAGGTAAGAAAGGGAAGCTCAATTTAAGCTCCCTACACCCAGCAACCTGGCAACACCAGATTTTTACCAAGTCTCTGGCACTCAACCCAAGCTCTGTGCATGAACACTCCCACTTGTTTCTCTGGAAGATGAGACGCACTCTGAGAACCGCCCCATACATGCTGTAGCTGCCATGGAAAGAGCGCGCGTGCACGTGGTTGCACCCTTTCTCACCAGCCTGCTGAAGGGCTTGTCCCCTACATGCCCAGGGTAGTGTTGGCAGCCTAGGGGACCACAACAGCGCCAGAGCCACAGAGAGGACAGGACACGGCCATGGGGAGCCCAGCGGCCCCATTCCCTCCACATCACCCAGCTCCCCACCACACCTGCTGCTTCCACAGCCGAAAAAGCCATGCTCTCCACACTTGGCTCAGAACTCCGTCACACTGGGTCTCCTACTTCTGGAGGACTAAGTTTATTTGCAGGGCACTTACCAACATCTGCTATCACCACATCACATCTCACCTCATCTTTATACACTTATCTCCTCCATTAAACTCAAACCTATGACCTGGACAAGGTGTTCCCAGCACCCAGAGAATAGCACTACCTCTGCACCAACTCTGCACAGAAATGCAGATCATGCCTATCTCCATGCCCCATGACAATGGCCCTCTAACCTGCAAAATTCTACAGCTCCTGTGACTTCCCTCCTCCCTTACTACAGCTTGAGCTCCACAAGACAAAGGCAGATAGTGATCACAGCTCCTTGTACTGACATACTGACTGCAGCTCCCATCATTCGGCCTCAGGCCGTAACCCTGGACACAGGTCAACTACTCAAAAACCTGCTGAAAGACGAGCACTAAGATCCTCCATGTAGGTTCTTTCCCTTGCCAGTCAAGATTTTATCCCAAAGATGATTACTGTAAAGCAATCAACACTAAAATTAAAAATCAAATTACCTAGCCCAAGTGATCCAATTTTATCACTGATTAATTTTAAATCTTTCAAAACTGCACCTCCTCTTTTACCTGTGAAAGGAAAAAAAAACAGTATCAGCATCAAAGTAACGTTTAGAATACAATGTCCTCTAAGCTGTGTTTTCATTTTTTTTTTGCAGTTTGAGACTTTGTATTAAGCTACAACTTAGAAAAACTTATAAATTGTCATTATCAGTTGTTTGACTCATACACTGTCTCCCTTTTTAACCAAAACAAGACTACTGACAAGACTCTTTACTGGCATTTCAGTAAGTTCATGGACTATATATTTCCTTGGAATGTTTCCATTCAATTGCTATCTCAGGTCCCAGGGTCCTCCTCCCTAAACTATCATCCTCCATAATGATCATGGCTGTGGTTGTAAGGATGCAAGGTGTCCCCTTCCATGGCAAAGGTCCAGTTCCTAGCTGGTAGTGTGACTAGACCACAGGGGGCTGAGTTCACCAGTGGATAATTTATTCACGAGTTCAAACTGTTGAATATTTTCTTCTACTGGCCCTTTTCACTTCTTCTAAGACTGTCTTTAGCTAATTAGTTCATTTATTAATTGGGTTATTGGTTTTGTTGGTTTATTTTTTCTGAGTTCGCTGTACATTCTGGGTATTAGGCCATTCTCTGATGTGTAGCTGGCAAAAATCTTCCCCCATTCTATAGGCTGTCTTTTTAGTTTGTTGGCTAAATATCCTTTGCTTAACATTTGCAAAACAAAACAACATTGAGATTCCACACTTGTAGGTTCTAAACACAACTGTACCGCAAATTACAAAACCAATAATGGAGATTCCTCATTTATCTACATTAGTAAGAAAGAAGAGAATAAAATTAACAGAAACATAGCCTCAAAGAAAGTACCTAGGAACACACTTAACCGAAGTTAGGAGCAGGTGGCTCACGCCTGTCATGCTAGCTACTCAGGAGGCTGAGGTCTGAGGACTGTGGTGCAAAGCCGGCCCAGGCAAAAGTCTATGAGATTATTTATTTCCAATTAACCATCAAAAAGCCAGAAATAGAGCTTGGCTCCATTGGTTGAATACTACTAGCCTTAAGCATGCAAGTTCAGGGACAAACTAGGCCAAGTTCAAGCCGCAGGACAATACACCCACACAGATACACACAAATCCCAAACCAAAGATAGGAAGGACCTCTACAGTGAAAGTAGAAAGCCTTGAAAAAATTGAAGAAGACACCAGAGGTGGAAAGACTCTCATGTTTATGGATTGGCAGAATTAATATTGTGACAATAGCTATATTGCCAAAGTCAATGCAAAACCCATCAAAATCCCAATGTCATTCTTTGCAGCTATAGAAATCCCAATTCTATAACTCATCTGCAATCACTATAGGCCCCAAATAGCCAAAACAATCCTCAACAACAAAAAGGGGGGTGCATTGTTAGAGATATCACAATTCCAGGCTTCAAACTTTACTACAGAGCCATAAAAAACAGCTTGGTACCAGAAAAAAAAAAAAAAGACCTAAAGACCAATAGAACAAATTAGAAGACCCAGAAATGAACCTATATATCTATAGCCATATGATTTTTGACATGAGAGCCTAAAGTCGATGTTGAAAAAAAGCCTCTGCAATAAATGGAGAAGGGAGAACAGGATATCCACATGCAGAACGATAAAATGGAATCACTGTCACCCTGTGTTAATACCAATTCAGAGTAGATGAAACATCTCAAGACCTGCTTTGAAACTACAACAAGAAAAAGTAAACACTAGAACTTTGTAGCATAGGCAGAAACTTCCTGAATTATAACTCCAGTCACTCACCAAATAGGAAGGAGAACTGACAGGGATTACATCAAGCTAAACAGCACTAATCTGGAAAGAGCCTACAGAATCTTTGCCAGCTATATATCTAACAAAGGTTAGAATATACAGGGAGTTTTGAAAACCCCAAATAATCAATAACCCAATTAATGAATAGGCTAAAGGAATGATATAGACCCCTCTCAGAAGTGAAAATAGTCAATTAACATATGAAGAACTGCTCAGCATCCCTGGCTATAAAGGAAATGAAAATGAAAATAACCCTGAGATTCTATCTTACTCCAGGTACAATGCCATCAACAAAAATGCCAACAAGGATGTAGGGAAAAGGAACCCTATATTATAATGATGGTAGAAAGTCAAATCAGGAGATGACTGTGGAAGTCACTATGGAGATTCCTTAAAAAAAAAAAAAAGAAAAAAACCAACTACCCTATAATCCAGCAATGCCATTCCTGAACACCATTCATAACAGTCCGAATGATGGAACCAGACCAGATGTCCTATAATGAATGCATCAAGAAAATGTAAAAGTGGTCTGTGTACACACACACACACACACACACACACACACACACACACAATTTTATTCATCCATCAGGAAGAATATTATATATATTGTTTGCAAAGACATGGAGGACCCTACAACAAATCATATGAAGTAAGCCAGGCTCAGAAAAACAAAGGGTGCATGTTTTCTCTCATATGTGATATTCAATCTAAAATATAAACAGATATGAAAGCATACATACAAGCAAACTGACTGAAGTATGATATAGGAAACAGAATTCTGCAGTGTGACTCCTTTGGTCAGTTCAACAAAATGAATATCAAGACACTGAGACATACTTTGAGTAACACCAGTGGGTGGGTGAATGGAAAGATGAATGTGGGCAACGTAGTTGTAATACTCAATGTACAGACATGAAAACGGAGCTAGGAAACTTGAGACAGGTGGTGATGGGATAGAGAGGATGGTGGAAGGGGCGACACTACGCATAAACGGGTCTGTTCAACTGAAATTTCTTGTCAGCTATTTGAAGGTTTTTTTAAGACTACGCCAGGAAGCTCTGAAGAAGCAAACCTGTGTCCATACTCACAGGTATGTGCTATACTGACAGTGATATGGCACAAAGTATGGACTGCAGAACTATACATTTAGGGCCATGCTGGGTGTGCACATGTATGAGTGTGTGTGTGTGTGATCCTACGGCTTGAACTCGGGACCTAGGTATGAGAGAGAGAGAGAGAGAGAGAGAAAGAGAGTGTATGTGTGTGTGTGTGTGTGTGTGTGTGTGTTCCTAGGGCTTGAACTCGGGGCCTAGGTATGAGAGAGAGAGAGAGAGAGAGAGAGAGAGAGAGAGAGAAAGAGAGTGTATATGCGTGTGTGCGTGCGTGCGTGCGT